GAGAGAGAGAGAGAGAGAGAGAGAGAGAGAAAGAGATGGAGGGAGAGAGAGAGAGAGAGAGAATAATAAAGCAGGGAAGTACCATCTAAGGCAGCGACTACTGACGGCAGAAAAAAGAGAAAGAGACGCGGCCGCTCTTGCGAGGGTACGTAAAGAATTTTAGCAAAGTTAATGAAGATGCGCGCCTTTGCAGTCCGACAGGGAAATTCCTATCGAAACCGAGAACGATAGGCTCTAACGAGGTCCGTTATAAAGTAATTTATGCCGTAATTGTTTTTATTTTTTTGTTATTTATTCCGATAAATACTGAACAACACACAGAATATTCGGCTAGCACTGGCAGAGGGTGGGGGATTGGGATTATAGGTCGTTATAGTAGGGCCTCGAGTCGTGCGGTGTCGGGTCCGGCGCTGCGGGCTGCGGCGCGAACGCTAAGCCCGCCCGAGTAGTGCAGCGGTTCGGTACAGTATCGGTGGTGTGGCGGTCGGAGAGTTTGCGTCGGGGAGCAAGTTGGGCCGGGACCGTGGGGACCTTCCAGGGTGTTCCTGGCCTGCGACACCCCGCCCCACCGACAGCGCTGCACGCTAAGTTCACACTGCAGAGGTGGCGGCGCGAACGGTGCAAGCAAACGGTGGTGACAGCGTATATAGATAGATAGATAGATAGATAGATAGATAGATAGATAGATAGATAGATAGATCGGCGCTGATGCTTACCTAACCGGTAGGCCTGCGCTTCGGGCCCACAGCTCTCCCGAACCTCCCGGTTGTCCCAGCCCATCGGGTACACCGCGATGCCAGCGCAGGTGAGAAGAGCTGCAACAAAAACACAACACAACTTGTTAGTTATTATTAGCAAGAATACCGGACACACACAGGTTGCTAGATGAAAATGCCGCCAGCATTATGTGGAAAACTGTCGTAACTTTGAACCAAAATTAAAATGATGTATCCTCCGCCATGCAAGAATATTTCCCCTGCTTTTCGAAAGATACTTCTCCCTAACTCTCTGAAGGATACTCCCCCACCTTCTAAAGGATACTTTCCCGTCCTCCGAATGATACTTCATCCGCCATCTGAAGGATACTTCCCCCACCCACCATAGGATACTTTTCTTCCGCCGCCTTCCGAAGGATACTTCCGCCGCCTTTATCCCGGGCGGCCGGACATATTTCTCCGGCGGGTCCGCGCAGCTGTGCGGCGCGGGGGCGGCGCGGGGGCGGCGCGGGGGCGGCGCGGGGGTCCAGCGTGCTGCTCCGCCCCCAAAGTAGGACACTACCGCGCAGCAGCAGCTGACTCGCGCGCAGGCATTCTGTATTCCGCCACCACGATGTCTGACATGGACCGACCCTCCACCCGGGCCGCCTCCAGAGCTTGTATTCCTGCCCCGCCCCCCCTCTCTCCAGCGCTATGCGCACCCCTATTTCACAACCCCATCGCCCTTTCCACCCCATCGACCATTTTCCTATTTCACACGCCGCCCTCGCTCTGCTCCTCCCATCCGCCTCCCTCCTCCTCCTCCTTCTCCTCTCCTCCTTCTCCTCCCACCTGATTACGAACGACACGCATTCAAAATGAAATAAGCTGGAAGCGCTACACACAAATCACAAGTACGAGGCTGCTCCCCGCCCCACCCCGCCACGCCCCCTGGGGGGCCCGCGCCGCACCGCCTTTGCATAAGTACTTGCAGCAGCAGCAGAAGAGTTACCACTTTCCCCGAGGAAATGATTTCCCCGCACTGCCTTATTCGTTCGTATTATTGATATCGATATTCCCGTCAGCCATCCCTGTCCAAGAGGATGGGAGGGAATTGACTCTTCTTCTATCAAGTGTAACCAAGTAAAAAAACAAAAATATTAAAAAACGACATAATTTTACAAAAAGAAAATATATTTTAGAATGAAAATATGTGCGAGACGTACGCTTATTCTGTTAATATTTATGTCATTACCTCACAGCATCCGCCTGCGGGGCGGCCAGAAGTTATTTTTGCAGTGCACTACCACCGATGGGAAAAGGATACTCGGGTAACACTCCATAGAAAATGAATTTGGACACACGGTAATATCTCCTCCATTTTTTTTCTGTAGTCCGCCACGTAAGGGCATTACTGCCAACCGATTGCGGGGAGCGCGGTGCTCAGACCTGAAGGGGGGAGGGGGGGGGGTCGTCTGCTGTTGGTGGAATACACGTCCTCACCACTCACCATTACTAAAAGCGGCGGGGGAAAACTCTCCATGCCCCACTCCCCCTTCTTCCCATTTCCCTCTGCTAGCCCAGGCACCCCCCCCGTATGTTACCCCCCACACTAACCCCAC